GCTGTTCAGCGGAGCAAAGCGAGCGAAGCAGCATCCTAAACTGTGCGCATGCTCGGGATTTATATACCCTTGCTGGTCCCTTGCTGACAAAATGCCTCGTTTTTACTCTGTAATCTGCCTCGTATTCATAAGTGTACGCGTGTCAAACGCAATAAAAATACTTGCTCCCTTCACCCCCACCCTCTACGTTTTCCGAATCCAGATGGCGGCTGAACACTCGAAGGAAATGAAAATCCATCGCTCACGAGATCAGAGACTCTACCCACGAGTATTGTGTTACATTGTTTACTTTAGTTTCTTTATACAGGTACATTTTGAATTGTTTCAATTTTTGCATGTAGGCTGGTGCTTCCCGGAAAAATCGTCAAGACTTTATATTCGAGGCTTCTATAATGGGACAGTTTTTGTGACCCAAATGTCGTCTTTCTGGAAGGTGTTGTTACCAAAAGTAAGTTCCGTAACAAAACCGCTATGTAATTAAGGCCGTGGCAAACGAGGAAACATTGTTGCGGAAACATTGTTGCGGACGCAAATGTCTCCCCGTTTGCCCGCGCTCGCAACATTTGTTGCGGATGCAAATTTTGCGTTGGAGACGCAAAAAATGTTTCTGAATTATTTCAGAAACATTTTGTGTCCGCAACAAATTTTTCTCCGTTTGCTCGCCGAAACATTTGCGTCCGCAACAATGTTTCCTCGTTTGCCACGACCTTAATTAGAGAGGTTTGCTTTGGGTTTGCATTACTACGCTCTCTGATTGGTTCGAAAAACTCGCGCCACTTTCTTCAACCTCGTTCCCAGGGTATCTCATGCTCTTGGGGGCGGGAAGATGAGATACCCTGGGAACGAGGTTGTACTTTCTTAACCAATCAGATGCCAAACTAAAACCGAACATGACTTGGTCGCACGCGTGTTCCGCACTTGGCGCCGGTTACATGTATTTGCTTCGAGTTCTGATTAATTTGTTCCTCATTTTGTTTTCATGTGTTTGTGATTGGCCAGAGTGTGTACTTTGGTTTTCGTTACACGCGTTTGTATATGCAAATGAAATTTTGCTTATAATTTCCATCTTTTTTTAACAGCTTCACCCTTGATGATTGTAATTGAGTTCATGTCAAATGGTTTCCCTTGACAACTTTCTTAAGGTTAGTGTTATTGTCATCAACTATTCTTTAATGCGGGGTGTGGGGAAGGCGGGCGTAGAAAGGAAGGGGGGGGGGGGGGGGGGGAGGGGACTAAAATTTCCGTTGTTCCGTTCTGAATGGAAAAAAAATAGGGGTACATCTGGAGGTAGACCACAATTTCCGAACGGATTTTCCGGCAGTTGTCACATTCATGTACATGTTGTGGTTTAAATTTATTTTTGGTTTAAAAATTTTCAAACCAGTGTGATTTTTATTTCCTTTGTTTCAGATTATGGTAATGAATATTAGACAAAGGAAAATAAAAATAAAATTGGTTTGAAAAATTTTAAACCGAAAAAAATTTGAACCACAACATACATCTCGACTGCTATCGCGACCTTAGCGTGGGTTGGCTCCCATTCATATTATGGACCAGTCACTCTTTAAGTTGTTATATTTCAATTATCCTAAGGCCCAGTTCAGACGCCGTACTTCACATGAGCCGAATCGAATTCGAATTTAGGCCGACCCAAATTAATTTAGATCGACTGAATTGATTCAGACGCCGAGCTTAATTCAGCCGAACTTAAATTAATAGGGGAAAATTGCTGTTATATTGAAAAATACATTATAATAATTCATGCATTTGTTTCGGCTCATGTGAAGTTCGGCGTCTAAATCAAGCCGGTCCACAGCCGTTATTCTCGGCTGAGCCAGGCGGGAAGAACGGCTGAGCCGATCCGAATTGATTCAGCCGTTCCGAATTGATTCAGACGCCGTACCTCACATGAACTTAATTAATCGAATTCGATTCGGCTCATGTGAAGTACGGCGTCTGAACTGGGCCTAAGCGTGCTTTTGAGAATAGTGTCTGTGTGTCTTATTTTATACCAACTCATCTAACTTCGATTCATTCCTTGGTAGAAAATGGACGACAAACTTACGATATTACAGTTGTTGGGAATGGCTCGAGGTGTCTCCTCAGGCATGAAATTTTTGTCTGAAATGAACTTTGTTCATCGGGTAAGCAGTGCTTATTGATTGGTCTTAACTATATATTTGTTCGTTCGTTCATTGTTTAGATAGGAGTATTCAGTTACTGTACCATCTTCGTTAATGTCAGTCTTGTAATGTTAAAGGGGCAGTATCGCGAGAATTCTCCCAAGTTTTTGTGTAAACGTAACTACGCTCGAATTATGAAGGTACATTCGCTGATGCACAAATTGGCTCCTGGACAAGATAAAGACATCAATTCATTCTCCTGAGGTGGGAACAAACCAGAAGAATTGATTTTGAGCTATTTTTACCAAGAACACCGTAAAACTTGAAAACGTCGGCCCGACTTTTTTCAAGTTTCATTCCACTTCCTTCCTACCCGTCCTTAGTCAAATAAGTTGTTAACAGTTTTTCTGTACTAGTATAGCAACTTTTAGCAAGACCAGGCCACTATTAGTGGATTTCCATTGATACAAACACTTCTGCTAGGATGTTTTTAGTGCTAAATCTTTGTGACACTGCCCCTTTAACGTTGCCGTATTTTATTGTAGTAACCCCCTGTGTTCAAAGGCTATTTTCATATACTACATATATAGAGGTTATTCAGCGGAAAGTTGTGTAATACGCGGCTGGGTATTTTTACGAGTCAGTTTTATTTTTTTGAGCCTTTAGGCGAAAAAAAATAAACACTGACTCGTAAAAATACCCAGCCGCGTATTACACAACTTTCCGCTGAATAAATTGTTTATTATACGACATAATTATTTTCTAAAATATAGGCTTTCAACAGTGTTTTCCGTAGCGCGCGGTCAGGGGGACTGAGACCCGTGTAATACAGTCTCATATCTGCTCTCGTCTGTGTGCGTATTCGCACTCTAAAATGCTATGTCGTATAATAAACTATCATATACTACAGGGCCTTAAGGATATAAAGTGAAGAAATTATCCAAACCATTTAGTACAGAACTCATGACCTCCGCGTTACCGTAGCCTACATGTATGCCTTGTGATGTCCACTTAACAAATATATTCCATTTGGCCGTGCGTCTGTTGGTAAGAACAAAAAAGTGGCCAACGAGTCGCAGGCGAGTTGGTCACTGATGTTCTTACCACATTTTGACGTCTTCTGTGATCAATAACTGAACAATTTGAACTCAACAATCAGAACAATAGACCTTTCTCCAAAATGGCCGCCCCAAATTCATATTAAGTTGAGCGGAAAATCAATACCAGCACCTGAAAGACCACCTCTTGTTTGGTAATCGTACAGAATTTCGTTAGGTTAGGTTCTACCTGAGTCGAGAAAACGGAAGTTGAAAACTGGAAAATTTAGAGACGTTTGTATACGCTATACCCCCAGTCATGCAAACATCTCTAAATTTTCCAGTTTTCAACTTCCGTTTTCTCGACTCAGGTAGAACCTAACCTAACGAAATTGTGTACGATTACCAAACAATAGGTGGTCTTTCAGGTGCTGGTATTGATTTGAATTTGCGACGGCCATTTTGTTGGAGAAAGGTATATTTGGCTGACTGTAAAATCTGAACTAAATAAACGTGTTTTGTTTCCTTCAGGATTTGGCCGCTCGAAATGTTTTGGTGTCAGAAAGTATGGTTTGTAAAGTAGCAGACTTTGGTCTTTCCAGAGAGTTAGAGGACTCGGCTTATGAAACAAAGGTATGGGTACCCGGCTCTGTTGTAATAATTTAGACCAATTTCGATATATTAAAATTCTAACTTGGCTCCGAGGCTCAGGGAAATAAAACAAAATGAATCGAAAATAGATCTCATCGAAGTTGTGGGATGAATGAATAATTTATTTTGTTTTATTCCCCTAAGCCTCGGAGCCGTTGGAATTTTAATATATCGAAATTGGTCTATTCAGGCCTAGACATAAGGCTACACTCTTTTCTCTGAGCGCAGCTATTTTTCCTTTCGTTTATTTCGCTTCTCAACCGAGAAATATAACCCAGGCCCGAAGGATGGATAACACTGTTCACCGGATAAATCACTTTAATCCAGTGTATAGACTCTTCACTGGGTAAATTGTTTTCCCGTGAATAGCGTTTTCCACCCTTTGAACAATCGCGCCAGAGAGTTATGACTGAACAGTTAGAGGCATTGCCAAGTGACTTGTCGTGAACACTCGGCAATGAGAGGATGCAGAAATTTGTTTCTGTTTTCACTATTGTGAATTTAATTTCTGGTTCTTGATTTACCAAGAACGGCACCTGTTAATTGTCACGTAACTCTCTCGAGTTGTCACGCAGCTATCTCTAGTTTTGAAGCAACTTTCTCCAGTTGTCACGCAACATTCGTCATCACTGTGATTCCTTCTTTGTGAAAAACAGTGATTCTTTCTTTGTGACAAGCGAGGAGAAGGGAGAACCCCCTCCATCACCAAATCATCTTCTTTTTTTTTCAGGGAGGAAAGATTCCCGTTAGATGGACGGCACTAGAGGCGATTGAGTATCGCAAGTTTACTACAGCGAGTGACGTGTGGAGCTATGGAGTGCTGTTGTGGGAGATCATGTCATTTGCTGAGAGACCTTACTGGGACTGGGGAAACTACGAGGTGAGTCTGGCACCCTCGCTATCACCCCTTCGCCCAACATTGCAAAGGGCTGTGCAGTGAAGTGTTTAAAGGAATATTGTCCAAGATTGTAGTTGTTATTTGCAGTTACGTAGCGAATTCCAAAGTGTCTATCGTCAGACTTTAGCTCTCCGGTTTTGCAACTGAACTACTCTAGTTTCCACATAACTGCGAATATCTTATTCACTTTAAAATCATTTCACTGCCGTTCACTGGCAGTTCACGTGTATGATTCATATGTTCATCCTTACAAGGATAAAAATAAAACTCATAATTTAGCAACTTCCAGTGTCCTTCATAGCTCAGTGGTAAACAATTTTTACTTCCTTCGTAAAAGTCATGGGTTCGAATGCCGTTGAAGTCTAGATAGTCTGAGCATTTTCCAGGCTTTTCTGCAATCGCAGCAATTGCTAAATAACTGCGAAACATTTATTTATCTTTTATTTGCTCACCCATAGCTCACATAGTTAAATATACTCTCTCCTTTGTCTAATTTTTCAAGGTTATGAACCGAGTAAGGGACGGATACCGTCTTCCACCGCCATTGGTAAGTACCGTACTTAATTTCGTTGCGTACGTTTTTTATTTATTTATTTTTTCTAAAGTTCCTGCCATGGAGTTTAAAATAAACGCATGATGCCCAATAGCGGCTCCGTTTGGCCACATCCATATGGTGTTTTTTCTTAAAGAGGCTATGTCACGCAATTTTCGGCAATTTTGTTACTACACAAACTCTTGTTGAAATTGATTGAAACCACTAAATAATGGTTTCAAACTCATAGAAAAAACATAAAACAAATACCAAGAAGCCGCAATGAAATGCGAATGTTCAAAATTGGACAAGATTGAAAACGGATCGTGAAAAGGTTTGAAAAACAACGGCCCGATGTTTTCAAGTTTAAGTCCATTTGTATGAGACAAGCCAGTGGTAAATAATGCTTAGAAATCATGTGTGTTTGCGACATAAGTGAGATTCCATCTTTGAATTAGTATTTCCTTGACATGTTCGAGTTTAGAGCTCGTAAAAAATGGAATACAGGGAAGAATAGCAAAAAATAGCCCCTGTAATGTATACGTCTTAAGAACGAATGTCGCTAAGGATGGAGCCAAATTGGAAATGGTCAAAATAAACTTTCCTTCATACTTTGTGTGTAGTTAGGCCTTGGGGTGGAAACATTCATGATGATATTTGTTTCACTTCCTGCACTAACCTAGACTTGGGATCAGGGGGGGAAGTTCATGCCCCAAAATGTATTTTTTGAGGTATTTTTAACCCTGAAAACTGAGATTTTGTTAACTAATTCTCTCAAAATGCAAAAGACCGGTTAAAATTCTGCTGACATCCTGGTATAATATCATCCTTCCACTCCACAAAACTGGCACCGGATTTTCAGTTTGCCCCTGGGGCCCCCCTGGCCCCCTGTCCTTTGTAAGGGGGGGAACCGCCTTTTTAAAAAACTGAAAATGAGACATCTTTGGCTAAAATAAAATCAAACTGGTATTCATATTTTGATCAAATTTGAAGTTACAAATGAATATTTCGTCCTTTGTGAATCTTTTGGTACTGAAAAGTCCGCGGGCACTCAACTATTTTTTTGCAGAACAAATAATTTACAATTACATACCCACGGACAAATGTTAATTTTCCATCATTTTCAATGCCCACTTTCTGGGGCTTAAATCATGCTATTTGTAGCAATTTACTACTACACTGTTTCTCTTTCATCGATAATTTGAAAATATTTCACTTTTACAGCTTACATTTAAGCAACTTCAGAAAAAAAAATGTTTTGAATAGCACACCACTGGTGAAACTGTTAATTTATGCAAATAATAACACTCAACTTTCCGGCCAAAAAAATATAAAACTGAGTTGTGTAGTCAATTAAACCACATAAATAAAACTTATAATAAACAATTGATGTTTTGCATACCATTTATTAAGTAGTAACTTCAAGAACCATCTCAGAGGCAACGAGGAATCACGCCGAATATTATAATAATTAAGCTTATAATTCATCGATGCTTTCGATATGCCAAGATAATAAATACCACCATGTTGAAACTATAGTTCTCGTCAGTTGGATCAGCTCCAAATGGTTTCTTTTACACTGGAAATATTATCTGTAATTTGCTGCAGCGCCTAGCTATCCACAAAATACTACAAACAGTTTCACGATGCTCCACTGATCGATGCTGTTACCGCCATGTTGGATCACTTCTCGTCAGGCCGTGATGAATGCTTTACAGGCAACCTCCTTGTTCTTTTAGAAATGTCCGATCTCTCGAGCTCCACAATTCTCAGCTATAAATCCTGAGTTATAAATCAGTTAGCGGCTAGTAAATCCTTTGAAGTATCACTGTTGGTTGTATAAAACTCCAAATACGCCGGGACACTTGGTGTGTTTATCTTTTATGGTTTCCGCTGACCGAAAAAAAGATAAACATTCGTCCCGGCTTATTTGGAGTTTTAATACAACCAAACAGGGATACTTCAAAAGGATTTGTATAGCTAACTGATTTATAACTCAGAATTTGTAGCTGAGAATCGTGGAGCTCAAGAGATCGGACATTTCTAAAAGAACAAGGACGTTGCCTTTAAAGCATTCATCACGGCCTGACAAGAAGTGATCCAACATGGCGGCGACAGCAATGATCATATCGGTGGAGCATCGTGAATCTGTTTCAGTTGTAGTAATTTGTGGGTAGTTAGCAGCTGCAGCCAATGCCAGATAATATTTCCAGTGTAAAGGAAACCATTTGGGGCTGTTCCGATGGATGAGAACTATAGTTTCAAGACGGTGGCACATAACGAAACCATCGATGAATTATAATATTTGGCGTGATTCCTCGTTGCCCCTGAGATGGTTATTGAAGTTACTACTTAATAAATGGTATGCTAACATCAATTGTTTATTATAAGTTTTATTTATGTGGTTTAATTGACTACACAACTCAGTTTTATATTTTTTTGACCGGAAAGTTGAGTGTTATTATTTGCATAAATTAACAGTTTCACCAATGGATGTGCTATTCAAAACATTTTTTTTCTGAAGTTGCTTAAATGTAAGCTGTAAAAGTGAAATATTTTCAAATTATCGATGATAGAGAAACGGTGTAAGTGGTAAGTTGCTACAGAATAACATCATTTAAGCTCCAGAAAGTGGGCATTGAAAATGACGGAAAATTATCATTTTGTCGTGGGTATGAATTGTAAATTGTTTGTTCTGCAAAAAATAATTGAGTGCCCGCGGACTTTTTAGTACCAAAAGATTCACAAAGGACGAAATAGTCATTTGCAGCTTCAAATTTGATCAAAATATGAATACCAGTTTGATTTTATTTTAGCCAAAGAAGTCTCATTTTCAGTTTTTTAAAAAGGCTGTTCCCCTCCTTACAAAGGACAGGGGGCCAGGGGGCCCCCAGGGGGCAAACTGAAAATCCGGGTGCCAGTTTTGTGGAGTGAAGGATGATATTTATACCAGGATGTCAGCAGAATTTTAACTGGACTTTTGTATTTTGAGAGAATTAGTTAACAAATCTCAGTTTTCAGGGTTAAAAATACCTACAAAAATACGTTTTTGGGCATGAACTTCCCCCCCTGAATCCCAAGTCTAAGGTTAGTGCAGGAAGTGAAACAAATATCATCATGAATGTTTTCCACCCCAAGGACTAACTACACACAAAGTATGAAGGAAAGTTTATTTTGACCATTTCCAATTTGGCTCCATCCTTAGCGACATTCGT